TCATTCTACCCATCCTACCCAAATACTTTCGCTCAAGTATTTTCTACTGCTGCTAAAGACTGACTGCTACATTGGATCTGGCGTTTTTGCTTTGTGGCATCAAGATACTGCAGTCTGCTGTAGCACTTTTCCTGACTGACTCGACTTTGAATCGCCTGGCTCGTATTCCAGTCACAACCAAATCCTTCCTGACGTCGCTACGGTCCGCCTTTCCACATCTAGCCCTTCTACCAGCAAGTGAACCAGGGCTTTCGACTCTTCGACTTTTGGGCTGCTATCTTTGCTGCTGCATACTTGAACCTACCCGTCCCAAAGGCTTCTTGTCTTCCGTGAGTTTGTTCTTTGCTGTTTTCTCCTGCATCTGCTTGCTCGTTTCGCTTTTTGCTTATTCTTGGTTCCACCTTCCAAATAACTATGGCTTTTGATACTAACGATAAATGTGGCGAGCACAGTTGTGGCACTGCAGTCACGGAAGGCATACAGTGTGACCGATGTTTATTATGGTATCATAGCACCTGCTCTAGGTTAGACCGTTCGTCCATTGATCTGTACACCCAGCATCCCCAACTGAAGTGGATCTGTTTTCACTGTGTGTGCCTAGCTGATACTTGTGCTCGCTTATTACGCGAGCGGCTTGATGCTCCTCCACAGTTGCCTGATGTTCAGAGGGTAGCTGACGCGAAGTATCTGCAGCGGCTCTCCACCGCAGAAAAAGTGATCAGCGACCAGGCTTTGCTCATAGATGCACTGCGAGTGAAGATTGACGAGTTGCGCGATTCTTTAAATAGCTACGCTCAGAGTGCGGAGATTGCCATGGGCAGGCAAAGAAATGTTCTTATCTACAATCGGGAGGAGCCGGTGATACACGAGGCAAAGGCTCGACGAGACCTGGACAGGAGACGAATACACGACATCCTCCGCATAGCCGGGATACCTTTAAACGTCGGTATCAAAAGGGTGCATCGTGTAGGTAGCTGGAGAGAGACTGGTCCACTGCGTCAGCAAGGATTTGCTAGGCCGATTCTGGTTGAATTTAGGAACCCTGTTTATCGTGACCAAATGCTTAACCGAGCCGGCTTAATCGAGAGTCAGACTAATGGCCGGTATCAGGTGGCCCCGGACACACTTAGCTCACATGCCAAGGTCCCGCGGGTATGTCAGTCGGAAGATACTAATAACCGCTTGGCTGGCGTGTCTGCGACCTTGGTTAAGGGTGCTCCTTTACGTGGTCCCCGCATTGCATCAGTGCCTACCAGGGATGATTGTCCCACTGCAGCGGAGGTCGTTCCTTCGAACTACCACACCACAAATTCAGTATCAGATGCAGGTACCGCGAAAGGTGCTTCCTCACAAGTTAGTTCACCCGGAGGTACTTACAGCCGATTGATTGTATACCCTGCATCTCCGGCCGCTGGGGTCAGAGTCAGTCAGCAACATGCCACGATCACACCAAAAGGAACTGGGTGGGATTGCACTCCTACCACAGCGGCAGTTGTCTGCTCGAGTCCTCAAACAATGCAGGTTGCAAAGGGAATAAGTCGCGAGTTACATGTGACAACGACCAAAGTTTCACTGAACGGAAGTACGACTTCCAACTTGTTACCCGGGGAAAGTTGCGGGGTTGCGGACATGAACTTACAGGTGGCGCATCCAGGACTATTTGATGCCGCTCGCATAATGTCAGCTGCTTCGGAACTCAAGGACACTACGTGCATCTCGGTGATTGGTTTGGGAAACCAGCGCTGTGAACCTCCCAAGGCTGACCTTGCAGGAAATTCGGAAGGCAGCGTTGCTAGACCTTCTAAGTTAAAGAGAAAGAAGCAAGTTGGTCGTTTACGAAACAACTCAAGTCGGACGGAACCTGACAAGGTTTCTGCTCGTGTTGACCTACATGAGCCTAATCTTGACCCAGCATTGCAGGCGGCGAACGATAATGACGCGGTGTCAAAAAACGGGTTGTCCCCTCGGGTGCTGCGCCCGAGGGGAAACAACCGCGTCAAGCAGGACTAATTGTATGGTATACCAATTGCTGCAGTGTGAGGAACAAATGGGGAGAGATGGTGAGGCGCTGCGGATGTGCTGATGTTGTTGCCTTGACAGAGACATGGCTTTCTCCGAGCGACATGGTTAGCGACCTGCTGGTAGATTTCGTGAGTTACCGAGTAGATAGGCCTGATCACCACACTGGCGGGGGAGCACTATTGCTTATAAAGCGCCAGTATAGTCATTGGGAGGCTCCGTTTATGATGAGTAATACGAACGTTCAGGTGGTGTCTTGTTACTTAAGGATGATGGGCAGGTTGGAGATCTTTATATGTGTCTACCGCAGTCCATCGTCCACACGAGAGGAGGACAAAGAGCTCGGTGCACTATTGAGGCGCGCAGTGGTTGCTGCGCCTAATTTCCTAATAGTTGGTGATCTAAACCTTCCTCATGCGGATTGGCAAGGCACCGCAAACAGAGCGGATACATTGGAACAGGAACTGGTTGACTGGATGCATGAGAATGCACTTGAACAATACATCAATATGCCGACCAGGAGCCGAATCGGGAGTGCCCCCTCCACGTTGGATGTTGCCATCACCAAACACGGTCGTTTCGCAGAGCTACAAGTGGAAGCACCTTTAGGTAGGAGTGATCACTGCGTCCTCACTTTCTGCCTAAATACCTTGAAGCCTGCACGACATCCTCGCCTCGTGAGAAATTTCAGCCGCATCGACCATATGAAATTGAGGGATAGAGCCCTCCAGGTCAATTGGATCCCTGACCAGGAACAGGCATCTTTGGAACAAAGGTGGTCTGTGCTTAAAACTGGTTTAGTACAACTATTGAATGAGTTTGCTCCTCTTCGTCCTGCGAGACATTTCAGCAGGCCTCGATGGTGGAGGAGGAGAATTGATAGAGCTCTAAAGAGACGAAATGAGAAGTGGAAAAAATTCAATGAGGCCAGGGGCTTTCGACGATGGCTACAGTACACAAAAAGCCGGAATACGGCTATCAAGATGCAACGGCAGGCTAAATACTCTTATGAGCTTCGGCTGGCTCGGTATGCGAAAACAAATCCAAAGTGTTACTACGGCTATGTTCAGTCTAAAGCCTCCCTAAGAGAGGACGTTGGGTGTCTAATTATGGAAGATGGCAGCCAGGCTGTGGAAGCCAGAGATAAAGCTGAAATGCTGCTAAGAGTCTTTCAGAATCTGCATAGGAGGGACAATGGATGTGCTGCACCATCGCAGCCACACTGTGTCAGCAGTTATATAATGCAGGACATCGTGCTGACTGCGCAAGAGGTCTTTACTGTGATGACTAACTTGAATCCCTTCAAATCAGCCGGTCCTGACGATGTACATCCGGCAATAGTCAAGCCACTAGCTGACATCCTTCAACATCCTGTTCTGGAGCTGTTCAACTTGTCGCTCCAGGAATGCAAGTTGCCACGAGACTGGAAGGAAGCAGCCATAGTTGCAATTCACAAGGGTGGCTCCAAATCGGAGCCCCTTAACTACAGACCCATCAGTCTAACCTGTGTCCTGCTCAAGTGTTTAGAGAAGCTTATAAGAAACCGGATTTGTGAGCATTTGGCGGAACACAGTCTACTTAGAGCAGAGCAGCATGGTTTCATTAAAAAGAAGTCGTGCCTCACTAATCTACTGTGCTTCCTCGATGAGATTACTCGATGTCTTGACGACGGGATTCCGGTAGAGGTCTGCTATCTTGACTTTAGCAAGGCTTTCGACTCAGTAAATCACCGTTTCCTACTTGAAAAATTAGCATGGTTCGGAGTACATCCTAGACTTCTGTCTTGGGTGTCAGAATTCTTATGTGGGAGAACGTTTCGAGTTAGAATCGGTGATGTGAGTTCTAGTGTGGGCGTGGCCTACAGTGGAGTACCCCAAGGATCGGTGCTAGGTCCACTTTTGTTTCTTATGTTTATAAACGACTTGGCTCCTCTTATTGAAGACCCCTGTTACATCTTTGCGGATGACTTGAAGCTAGTCAGCAGGGGCAGCCATGCAACACTGGCCAAGGATATCATTAGTGTGGTAATTGGTTCGAAGCAATGGGACTTGCCCTTGTATGCAAGCAAGTGCCGAATTCTGACCACTAGTAGAGACGTACTTGCAGTTCAGACTTCCTTTGGGCCCTCCCCCTTACAATGCACTACCCAGGCACGCGATTTAGGAGTCATCATGACGAGCAGCTTCAAGCCTTCGATGCAATGTCGATACGCCGCCAACAAAGCGCGACGAGAATTGTTTCGCCTCAGGAGGGCTCTGTGTAATACCAAGCCAGAAGTGTTCCTGCCACTATACAAAGCAGTGGTTAGGCCACACTTAGAGTATTGTGTTCAAGCTTGGTCGCCCTATCTCCGTGATGATGTTCTTTGCCTGGAGAAGATTCAAAGACTAGCAACCAGGATGGTTGAAGGTCAACGGGGGAAGCCGTATGAAGATCGCCTAAAGAGCCTGGGGTTGTTTTCCCTTGAACGGCGTAGACTGAGAGGCGATCTGATAGAAACATTTAAGATCATGAAGGGCTTCAGTGCCATCGTGCCCTCTGATTTATTTGAGCTGGCTGATTCTGAACGCTTGCGTGGACATCGCTTGAAGCTCAAACAACAGAGAGCTAGACTGAACGTCAGGGCTAAGTTCTTCTCAAATCGTGTAGTGCGCAACTGGAATAAGTTGCCTTCGGAACTAATGGATTGTGAGACTGTGGTTGCCTTCAAAGCAGGCCTAGACAGGTGCTGGCCGCGTATTTTTCCGGAATTAATATAATCCTATCCAATTTATTCGCATTGTTATCCGATGTTGATCCTTGTAAAAGCAAAGATTGCTCTCGCTTTTGCTTCATTTCTTTTTGCAGAGGCAAGGAGAGGCGATCAAAAGTCGAAGTATCGGGGGCTCTGGTTCGCTTACCGGTACAAGAAGCTGGACGCTCGTTAGGCGGAAGCCTGTATCGTCCACGGATTTTGACCTGACCTGACCTGACCTGCCAGCTGGGTTGTTCGGGATTTTCCCGTTCCAGCAAATGGTTCGGCGGCAGTGTTCCGGAACGTGGTGGGTTTTCGCCTGGCAAGCGTTCTCCCTATAAAAAGCCGCATATGTCCGTTTAAAGCACTGTGACATGGCAGACGTGACCCGCCACTAAATAAAGTCACTGCCTCTTTCTTTATCCTGGCGAAGTATTGTATTACAGCAAATTTATGCTGTAATTCTGGAGAGTATTGGGCCCTTGTTTGACAAACGAACAAACGAAAGGCGTACGAACTGAGCAATCAATCACCGGCTCCGAATCGAAGCTCCTATTCATCCCACCCGATAAGTTGTCGGCGTTGAACTCCCTGTTGTTACTCAGCAGGTTGAGTTAGGGGTCGTGCACGCATCGACACCATTCTGGCGACAATTGGGAAAAGACTGCTTGTCGAGGGTTCTGTATGCTATGGTTTATCCGCCACTCTTTTGGAATCCTAACGTCCAATTTGTTTGTGAAGCTATTCTTGGCATTCGTCTGACCCCACCTGGAATATTGTATCAATACTTGTCTACCATGTCTTAACCGAGAACAGATGAACTTGGAGAGGGTGTTACGAGTGAGCAATCGGTTAGTGCAGGGTCTTCGGAGACACGTATCCTGAGCGCTTGCTCAGTTTCGGGATGTACTCCATGCACTACCGAAGGATAACAGGGGACCGGATTCTCACTTATCGTATTTTGACGGGTAAGATTGGCCCGGACTTGTTAGGGCTATTTAGTCCTGCTCGGTTATCTTATCTCCGCGGTCACACACTGAAACTGCATAAACCACTGTCTGATAGGATTAGGACGAAAACTCGTCTGTCGCGCCGTTATAGATCGCTGGAATTCGCTTCCAGATCACGTGGTTAGGGAACCTACAGTTAAGGGGTTTGCATGCTAACTCGATGCTCTTGAGTGGCAACAGCAAACCTTTACTTTTTCCTAGCTGACACCACTTTTCAGATCTTTTTCCAATGACTCAAATATCTTGGTACTCTACTTACTTAGCTCTTTTCACTTTCTCTTTTGCCTTCCTTCACTTTTTATATTTCTTACTTTACTTAACTGGCCCATCAGGGACTGCTAGGGCAGGATACGCGGGCTTTAATTGGTTGGACAGGGTGTGATGCGGTCTTTGTTTTAGGTCCATCAGTATTTCAAAGTCTGACAACTCCTGGTTCAACGACCCGCTGAAGAATGAACACTCACGGGATAATCCTATCGTTCCAGCCCCGCTTGACCTTGAACTTGCGATTCCCTGAATTCTCTCCGCTGCCTTGCGAGCAGGCTATTCAGCCAAAGACTCGGAGTGGTGTCCCCTAAGTCAACACCCTACTTCGGCTTAGGCAACCGGGTAGTATCTCGTCCTCTGACCAGACCATAGACTTTAATGTCTTGTGTTTTACTATTTCTATGCCTTCTTTTGAGTCCCTTATTTTCTGGTGGCTCTATTGGTTCATTGGTATGTAGAGAGCAGGAGAGGAGACCTTTGTCAGCTCCGTTGATTCCGATTCAGTGCAGGTTTGACGCAACTGACTGCGAAGCGGTATTCCTCTGGGGATCGTCGCCGTTGCAGTAGGAGCAGCAGAGCCCTGCGGTACTCATCAGATGGCAGTCAAGCAGCCGTTTGCAACTTTCCGCTGTCGGTGGATCATAAATGATCTCCGGTAGACTGTTCCGATCATTCACTACATGAATTGATAGGGCAGCCTCTGGACGGACGTGAAGTAATCGGCTCTTGTACAACTTCCATTTGTGGCCTAGTGTCGAGCGGTCCACGTTGAGCCGAAAGTGCTCTTGTACCTCACTCCCAACATCTCTTCATAGGATCAGTGAGATGTAGATGAGAGCTCTACGACGCCAACGTTAATCCATTGGGAACATGTTCAGCTTTCTGAGTCGAAGAGGGTAAGCAAGACCACGACGCTCTATGACCGATTTCGTGCCGCGCTTCTGATCTTTTTCTAGCAAGTCGCATTCAGATTTTAAAAGAGGACAGGTAGCTGGAAGCCCATACTCCATTCTCGGGCGGACATATGATGTGAACAGCGTTTTGAAAATTGCCGGAGTGATACGGGAGAACTACCTGCGTAGAGATAGAGCTCTATGTCTAGTTACTAGACTGTTGAGATTACTTACTTACTTACTTACCTGCGTATAGCACCCAGCATCCTGTTTGCGGCCGCGACCTTTCTCAAGGTCTTTGGAAGTTTTAACGTCATATGACACCATAACCCTCAGGTTCTTCTCGTGTAGAACATTCTTGAGAAGATATCCACCAATGTGGTATATTCGAATGAATCCGGGCTACCAATCGGAAGAACAGCACATTTATCATGGTTAACGGGTAGTTACCACTTGAAGGACCAATCGTGCAGCTGGTCCAGCGCCGTTTGGAGTCTATTCGTGTCCTCAGGACTAATTACTTCTGACCATAGCTTGAGATCATCAGCGTAGACTAAGCAGTCGGCTTGAAGAGCTGCAGAGAGGTGATTAATGTAGAGCTTGAAAAGTTCCGGCCCAAGGACAAAGCTTTGTGGGACTCCGCTAGTCATAGACAGAGCCAGACAGCGTTTGTTCACCTTCATTTGAAGAGTCCGATCTCTCAAAAAGTCCGCAACCCATGCAAGAACGTTCCCGGTGACGCCAATTCCTTGGAGTTTGAGTAGCAGTCGTTTGTGTGGAACTTTGTCAAAGGACTTGCTGAAGTCAATGTAGATAACATCTAGGTGTCTCCGGTCCTCTACCGCTTTGACCCATGCTTCTCTGGCAACCAGCAGGTTAGAGATGCAGGAGCAGGCCCTGCGGAATCCGTGCTGAGTGAGGGAGATGGTACACAAGCTTTCGCAGTGAGTTTGTAGGGCGCGCTTGATGATACGTTCCATGAGCTTGCAAATCACAGACGTCAGGCATGTCGGTCGATAGTTTGCAGGATCGTGCCGGTTTCCACCTTTGTACTTAGTCATTACAATCCCTACTTTCAAGTCAGGGGGTAGGCATCCGTCTGCAAGAGAACGCCGGAAAACTTGATGTATCGGCTCAGCAATGTATTCGGCTACCATCTTGAGGAATAACGGCTCAAGTCCATCAAGGCCCGGTGCGGAGTTAGGGTTCAGTTCAAGAAGAAGTCTCTTGACTATCTCCGGATTGATTTCGACTTGCTCGAGAGGAGGATAATACGCTGTCAGATCGACAGTGGGTAGGGACGTTTCCACGGAATAGATCGAGTTGTACTGCGAGGCTAGTAGTTGTGCCTTCTCGTCATCTGCGTAGAGCGCTGTGTCCTCTTGCTGGCAGGATAGAGCAGGGATACCACTGCCAGCTTTAATGTTTCGTTTCAGGTACGAGAACAGCTTCTTCGGGCAGATTCGTGATTGCATGACTAGGCTGTGTTCGTATTGTGATCGTTTCTAGCGCTTTCTTAGAGTGCACAGATTCCTGATCACTTTGTACTTCGAGTCATCTGGCAATACCTATGTTAATTTGCATATGTCCCACAGTTTGCGTCATCTGTTCATCAGGGATCTCACCTGTCGGTCGACCCAGGGGGCCTTTGGGGAAAGGCCTGCTCTTGGTGATAGGAACGACTTTTTCGATGACCGACATCTTCGAGCTTCATCAAAGTTCAGGGTTTGTGGGATGGTCCAGTCTGTGATGCTTACCACTTTTGTAATCTGGATTGGACAACACGCCAGAAGTTGCGACTGCGTGTCCCTTGATCATATATGGCAAGGCGGCATGCCCAGATTTTAGGTTGTAGAATGGTCACTCCGACCGAATGGTTGTAGTATTTTCAGGCCATGGACATCAAAGAGTGCTGGTGTGAGGATGAGATCCAGTATATTTGATGTTTGACCCGGTATCATCCGTGTTGGTATTAGATATGCTGGATCAGATTGCATTCGTGAATAACATCGAGAAAGTAAGCCTCGAAGAAATCTTGGTAAAGATCACAATGAAGGAGGTTCCATCCGACACTGGGTGTATTGAAGTCGCCCATTAGCAGACAGTTCCTTCCTCCTTCATCGGTTTTTACAGACTGTAATAGACGGACGCCTTAGCTCAGTGGAGCTCTAAGCTACACCGACCGTGTGCAACTGGTAGCCGTCATGAATTCGACATTACAGTATCTCTGAGGCTCCGTCATTATCGCAGAGAGCTTCGATAATGTGTACCTTGAGGCATGACCTCGTGTAGAGAATTACTCCACCCCCAGCCCGCCCACTGGAGCGACCTGCTCGGGAGATTTGATATCTTGACAATCCCAGCGTCCTGGATCTTTGTTGGTAACCAGGTCTCGGTGAAAGCCAGTATATCTGGCTGATACTCAGTACTGAGAAGAGGAATCTCCTCGAGCTTGTTTTTAAGACTGCGTACATTGGCACATATTACTCGCAGACCGCTACTTAGACATGGGAGCTGGGTAGCAGAAGGATTGGCTTCCAGCGAGTTCTCTAGGTTTTCTGAACAATGCGAAAATCCAGTTTCGCCGTTCGTTCGGCGAGTTCGAAGTTCCTTGACGGCTTGTCTCATTCTGACTCTATCTTCTGGGGAAAGGTCTTTCAGAACAAATAAGGTTTCTCCTTTAAGACGCGAGGTACGCCTGCTTCAGATACCGCTTACGACGTTTCCATTGCGACGCAGCTCGCGTCACTCATGCATCGTTTCGCACCGACTCACTCCCGTTTCCACAGCCATAAAGCCTTTGTGCCGCCGGAGCTGCAAACTTGTACGCATGTATTCGTACGAGTTGACGGGCTCAAGCGGTCCCTGACTCCGCCATATGAAGGACGATTTAGAGTCATTCAACGGAACGACAAAGTATTTGTCATCGATTGCTACGGGAAGCATGAGTTAGTATCTGTTAGTCGCTTAAAAGTCGCCCATATGGACAATGAAAGTCCCTCTATAAATACGCCTGTTCCACTGTCAGCAACAACGCATAGCCCTAGCAGTCCAACACATCCGCTGAGATTCCTTCAACATCGTCTAGTGCATCGAGAACGACTAAGTCAGGCCGATAGACACATTACTCTCGTCGT